ACCTTAAGAAACACAGGCACTTACGTCTTATCCTATAGGGGTATGTTGGGGAAGTAATATTTCAGGAAAGGGCTAGAATTTGGTAGTTAAGGTGTTTTAAAGGTCACAGGTGAGACCAAGTGGAGTAATTACTTTGACCAGTGGAGACCACTGGCCATTTGTTAGTTCTGAAACAATACATGTTGTGAAGAGGACTGGCCAAAATTGAGCTAAATGTTTTTTTGGCTTAGAGAATACAAATTAAGCCCAGGGAGAAAACACGTTGCTTTTGCTAACTGAAAATTTCTATATAAATGGGTGAATATTTTTCTACATGGTTCTTGAAGGTAGAACCAGAACTAAGCAGGGCAAAGTGAGAGCAATCTTTTAAATGGCTGATTGTGTCCCACCTTTCCCATTAGCATGATTAAATGCTCTTGTATACAAGGCACAAAATTGTTTGTCATGAGTGTCTGAATAATTTGAATGTATATAATATCTGGGGACTTATATTGCACATATTAAGGTCCCTTGTAGTACTATAATCCTACTTTTAAAAAAGATGGAGTCTCTAAAGGAGAGAATGAATTTATAGCAATGTTCTGGGGTCATGAGTTGGCAGGGCAAATGGGGGAAGAATTGAGCCCAATGGGAGGTACAAGGCTGTGAGTCACATTGAAGCCAAGGTGAAGCCCATAATGATGTACTTTTGTGAGACCATGACCCTGAAAGTTGCTCAAACTCTTATCAGGAAGGAAATGTGTGTTGTACCTATTGCTGCTAAGCCAGCTTTACTTTGTTATTTTTCTTTTTCTCTCCACTCTCTCCCCAGCTCCTTGGCAACATGATAGTGATTGTCTTGGCAACCCAATTCAGCAGGGAGTTTACCCCACAGATGCAGGCTGCCTGGCAGAAGCTGACAACTGCTGTGGCTAACGCTCTGGCCTACAAGTACCACTGAGTTGCTGTCTAACTCTGTGCCTCCCAGAGGGCCCTGTGTTCCAAGGGTCCATCTCCTGAAAGCTGGGGAACAATGCCCTGCCTCTTGAATTAACTTCTATGTGATAAAAATAAAATAAAAATTATGCTCTATAAGGAATATCCTTGTTTTAGCTCTCTGTTTTTATCTGTTATGTTGATTCAGCTAAAAGAAGGCATTCCTAAAAGAATGGGAGTATTGGAGATTGGGAGTTGGGGAGGCTAGAAAAGGCACTCTTGTGAAATTCTGCAAGATAAGAGTGGCTTTGATGAGGTACTTAGTCCTAGGAAGAGAAAGGGGACCCTTGAGTTGGACAAGGCCTTTAGGAAAAGGGAGGAAATAGAGGTATTCTCCAGACATGCAAGAAGATGTTTGATGGTGAGTAGGGGCAAGTTAGAAATCACAGTATGGGTCCTACATATGCTGCTATTTGTATACATTCAGGATAGAGCTCTTTTGGGCCTATAGTTAATTTCTGCTTAATACAAGAAACATATTTTTATCAGCTGCGATGTCGTGAATTTGAAGTTTCCCACAGACCCAGTCAAGAGCCATGCTCTAAAATTTTCCCTAATGTCTTCAATGGTATTAATGGTGGAGGAAACTTCCTAAAGTATGAACTGACTGCCCTGGTTTGAATCTGTTTTATCTGCTGGCTCTGTGACATGAAACATGCTTCTAATTACATGAAGCATTTGATGTAGATTAAGGGTCATTTATAAGAGAAAATGATAAATCCATGAATCAGTAAAGAAGAGAAATTGGCCCTTTAAAAGCAGTGGGTGGTGTGATATATAGATGATGTATTATAGAAATGTACACTTGAAACCTATGTAATTTTACTAACCATTGTCACCCCAATAAATTTAATAAAAAAAGAAGTAGGTGGTGAACACATAACGCAATATATAGATGATGTATTAAGGAAATGTATACTTGAAACCTATGTAATTTTACTAATCAATGTCACCCCAATACATTTAATACATTTTTAAAAAAAGATTAATGAAATATTACTTAAGTAGACAATTATGTATAAAATTACCCAAATCAATACATCTAAATATGAGTTACTCAAATGTGTGTACTTCAGATTCAAACAACTCATTCAACAATTATATTGTTTCCATATAATACTGAAAAAAAAATTTAAACTTGTGCAACTTTCTAGATTACATTTCCAAAATAAAATATCAAGTGAAAAAAAAATTTTTTTAAAGCCGTGGGGTAGCATAAAATTAGAGAAGCTGATAAGAGAGAGAAAAAGCAGGAAAAGGTGCTTTGTTAGAAGCAAGAAGAGCGAGTGAAGCTTCTTACACACAAGAGGGACATAATACATAGGAAATTTTAAAGAAATTGATGATTGTGTAGGTTTAGAACTAAAAAGACAGGGTGTAACTTGGGCATAGCCGTAGGAGTTTGCTGAGAGTATAGTGAAGTGATAGGTAAAGGACTGAACTTGACAGGAGCAATGAACCTAAGAAAATGTTAAGTAAGGGACATTGTGGCAAAGATTCTGAAACTGGAAACAGTGAAATAGAGAGTGGAGGTCACCGATGACAGCCAGATTCTCTACAGGTTCTGTGTAGTGAATGAAAAAAAAGGAAACCTATTGACAAAATAGAAAATGCCTAGAAATCTCTTGTTTGGAGCTGTCAAAGATCACAGCCATTTTTTAAGAAATCACTTCAAATTCCTGTACCCAGGTTCCTGGCATAGAAGTGAAAAGCCAGAGCTTTGGGATTAACAAACGAAGATCAAGTTACATCCCCATCGCCTTGCAAAGTATAGTTAATATTTTTTTCAGAATTAAATTCCTCATTTATAAAATGGGATAATGATTCCTACTTCACAAAGAAGTTCCAAGATTTCAAGGAGATATTTGTAAAGTCCATTGTCTGTCATTTTTGAAAAGGTAGTGGTGGCACTATGATCTGTTCCTCTGTAACCTGTTTCATTGTTTATTTTTGACCTGATAGTATTATTTCTCTCCAGACCCATAAATCTAACTATTTGCTTAGTATCCCATTTTTGGTAGCTCAAAAGCGCATCAAATACGAGGTGTCCAAGATTGAACTCCTGATCTTTTTTTTAACTTATTCTGACTAACTTACCCCTCTTTTTGTGTTCTCCATGTAACTAACACACCATTCATTGCTTAAGCCTGAAAATAGATGGCATTTTTACTTCAACTCCTCTGTAATATCACCCTATTTGTCTCTCATTTATTCTATCCCTAAAATCCATTTATACAATGAAGCCAGAATAATTCTTGAAAAATAAAAATCAAGTCATGTTAACCTCCCCCACCTTGAATTTTTCAATAGTTTTTGTTTGTTTTTAGATTAAAGAAAAATTATAATAGAGTTTAAAGGTCACTAATGGCTCCTCTGTACCTTTCTATCATATAATACGCCCTTCATTGTGATCTAAACTATAATCACACTGTCCATCTTTCTATATATAAATCATATAGTTTGAATTATTGTCTCTGGTTACTGTTAATCATGTAATCATTTACTTTTAAACATTTAATCCTGAAATGTTGTACAATTCATCTGTATTGTTGCATGTGAAGCAGTAGTAAATCCTTTTAATTGCTGGGTAGTACTTCGTTCTTTTGCTAACCATAATTTATTTATTCCACTAAATAAGGAGCATTTAAGTTGCTATTAGTTTGAGGTTCTTATGCATATCAATGTTATAAGCATTCCTAGACATGTCTTTGGACATACACAAACATGCATTTCTGTATATCTATAAGGATAATCATTAGGTCATAGGTTTGGCATACATTCTGCTTTAAAAGACACTATCAAATATTTTCCAAAGCCATTAGACTATTTTATACTCTCACTAGCATAGTACAAAAGTCTTTGTTAATCTATATCCTTGGCAAATTTTGGAATTCTCAATTTCTCCTCTCATCTTCTTTATGTTCTTTTTCCTTCTCTTTTTCCTTCATTTCATCCTCTTTCCTTCTGTTAGACTCTCCCTTCCTCCCTTTCCACCTCCCTCTCTCCCTCCCTCTCTTTCCACCTCCCTCTCTCCCTCCCTCCCTCCCTCCTTTCCTTCCTTCCTTCCTTCCTTCCTTCCTTCCTTCCTTCCTTCCTTCCTTCCTTTCTTCCTTCCTTCTATCTATACTGGTGAGTATTTATTTGAATATATCTGTAGTATCATTTGAATTGAGAGACAGTGAAATTTCCTTTGAATCTTTATTACTGGGTCTAACCCCACTTTTTCCCTGAGGACACAGTTGGGGAAATTTCAGCACTTGCGTTTTCCGTGAAACCCAGTCAGACTTAATCTGGCTGAATAAGCTAAATTCTTTTTTAAATTGCTCTGCATTCAGTTTTAGTCAGTTCATAGTTTTAAACAATTATGTTACAGATATCAAGTATTTTTCTTTATCTTTCATTAAACTGTTCCCATTATAATTCATGCTCAAACACATTTCAGTAGCTGGTAGAGAGACAATATTTATTATTTTTCATTATTTCAATGGACGTTTATTTCAATGAAGGAATTGAAAAAAAAATAATAAAAGGAGCTTTGTGAATGGGGGTATTTATCCAAAATGTAGAAAGAACGCAAATTAAAATTATGGCAAAATATTATGCATTCCTACCACTTATAAATATCTCTAGTGACAAACTGAAGCTCCACATAGAGTCTACTTGATAAACATTCTGCTTTCTAGGACTTAGCTTTCTTATCTACAAAATGAAAAAATTGGATGAGTTAAACTCTAAGATACATCCCACAATATCAGACTAAAACATTTATGCACAAATGAGACTAGGAGTAGAAGCAACTGCTGAAGGAGATGAGGTCAGGAAATAAACAGAGGAAGAGCAAAGTTTCAGAGTCAAGATACTCAAGACCTAGAACAACCTATCTCAAGACCAGTTAAAGGGAACTGAGAATGACGGTGCATCTTACATTCTCACAAACCAATGAACTTTTGCGATGTCCTGAGCCAATCTGCTCACAGGAGCAGGGAGGGAGGGCAGGGACCAGGGCTGGGCATAAAAGGAAAAGCAGGCCCAGCTGCTTCTTACACTTGCTTCTGACACAACCGTGTTCACTAGCAACTACACAAACAGACATCATGGTGCATCTGAGTGGTGAAGAGAAGGGTCTTGTCACCGGCCTGTGGGGCAAGGTGAACGTGGACGAAGTTGGTGGTGAGGCCCTGGGCAGGTTGGTATCCAGGTTACAA